TCCCTCGGGGCGGGGAATGGGGCGCGCTGACTGACTGACTGACGGACGGAAGGACGACGGACGGACGGAGCGTGTGTGTCGCTGTGCAGCCTGTCTCAGCTGTTTTGAGGAAGTTCCTCTTATTTAGGACAAATATTGTCAGGCAAATCACGCATAGCCACTCTTCGGGCTGCGGGGCTGCTTCTGTGGTAGCTGTTGGTACATGTTTGGCTACGTATTTCTTTTGAGTTTTGCTTTAATAAGAATACCTACTGCTGCTTGAAGCAAAGGAGCAGCAATACAGAAAAGCATCAGGGAGCCTAACTTAAAGGATTCCTCTGTACGGTGGCATGTGTTTATGGTATAATGACTTCACATGACCACACGTGTGCATGATCTGCCTTGTGATTGTTGCCTAAAACGTTACTTGCCTATCTGAAAGAATGCTTAACAGCTTCTCAGTGGATGCAAATGGTGGAATCGTCTCTAAATGAGGGAAGATTAAAGCACTGTGCAAGTGTTCAGTTCCTCTGTAACTACTAAAAACGCTCATTTGTATGGACAGCATCATAATAGTAGATTGTAGTATCTTAAGAGCACAACCTTTTTTTTTTTTCTTCCCTGTGTCTGTGCGCAGGATCCTTGAGTGAGGCCTTGAAGTACAGCAACATAAACGAAAGTATCACCTTAGTATACATAATAGAACTTTTCCTCTCTGAATTTCTAAATTGGTGGTTCTTAATCTCTTTTGAATTGTAAAGCCTTACGAATATTGCACTAATAGGTTTTCAGTTCTTGTGCATGAAATACAAGCCGGCTGATAGCAGGCAGTTAAAGCTGTCTTTGTTAACTTTCATATCCTTTCAGACTGTCCTGGACTTCAGGTCCTGGACACCTGATAGAATTATGGTTATGTACCTCATGCATATATTTCAGAGATATATATTTATATATATATATGTTTCATGTATCATGTGCGTGCTTCAGAGCTATGTTGCACTTGTTGTATATGTGCTACATTGCTGATGTGCACATGCACAGTCAACTCGACATCTTTGGTATGTATTGCATTTAACATGTCTGCCGATCAAGTAGGTGTGGGAGGAAACTCTGACACTGTCAGGCTCCTGAGAGCACTGATAGGCTTTAAACGGCCTCCACCTACACTCCATGCCTGTCGGCCCAGGAGCCCATTTAAGCTCAGCCCTGGGCCTTCAGGCCCTGCTTCAGCTATGTCAGGAGAATGCTTGTTTCCAGTTCAGCCACAGCTATGCCTTGCCGTGGACCCAGCTGAACTGGACACTGACCTGTGGGCTGACTTCCCAGCTTGACCTCACATCTGTCCTGTCACTGTGGGACCTGCCCAGCAATCGCTAGACCTACCCCTGACCTGCACATTGACTTCCCAGCTGGCCTTAGACCTGCCTCATCACTGTGAACTCGCTTAGTGATCTTGACTCTTGTTCCCTGACAGCCACCACTGCAGTAACGAGAGAAGACAAAGCTGTGAATTTTTTAGGTCTGTGATGAAAGGGCTCTTGCCGAATAGCTAAAAACTGCAAAGATAAAGTGTAGGTTCCTCATCCTTAGCAGGCCTATTGGGTGTGAAAGGTCCTCATGGCTTACTTTCTCGGTGCAGAAGTCCTCCAATATCCTTCAAGGTCGTCTTGAGCAGTTGTTAGGGTGCAGCAAGGGCCGAATTCTACCTAGCAGCTGGGAGTGGTGGGGGATCCTACGGCTGGCCTGGCAGGGGCCTTGTCAGCTAGGGCCTGTCCCAATCCCCCTAGCGAGGGAGCAGGGCAGGCTGCGGGGGGGGGGCGGCAGCCCTGAGCTCTGGCTCTAAGGCACCTCCGAGGGGATAGGACAGGGCAGGGGCCAGGCTGGGCAGTCAGCCTGTGAGTTGGGGTCAGGATCAGGCCCAGTGAGAGTAACCACGGTCAGACACAGCCGAATGATCGCTGGGCAGGTCCATAGTGATGTGGCAGGTCTGGGTTAACCTGGGAAGTCAGCCGTGGGTCAAGGTCCGGACCAGTGGCCAGGCACAGGCATGGCTGTGACAGCTGTAGCTCAGATGAGGGTCCAGTGCTACAGCCTTAGCTTAAAGCAGCTCCCACAGGAAGGGGGGTCAGCACTTGCTAAGGCTTCTCCACAGCCCTATTTGGCAGCCTTTTCCCATAGTCCCTAGGGGGGAAGGGGCATGCCCTCAGCTGCACCATCTCTAAGGTGGCCTGAGGCTAGGCAGCCAGACCTTCTAAATGGGGGATACTCTCAGAGCTATTGCACCAGAATCATATAGCGTGCTGTTTGCCTAGAATTTGTTAAGTCATTATGAAGAAAAACACAGCTGCCAGCTTTAAAACCTATATGTACACGTAGTTCTGGTCTATCTTAGTTTAATCATACAAGCAATTCATGAGCCCATTTCTCCTCCCTTAGAAAGTTATTATGCAAATGGAGAGAAATGTCAATTGGATTTTTTTATCTCTAATCTCACCTCCTTATTTGCATATGCATTTCCAATGAAAGATCGAATGATTTCTCTTGCGGGTCTGTTTGGATTTTTTTAGTCTTTTTCAGGTTAGCTCTTGGGTATTGAGCTTCATGTTTTTATGCTTCTTTTCACCCTACGATGGCTGATTATACAGATAAAGGATAGGCTTCCTATATAGATATGGGAAAGGCTGAGAGAACTGGGACTGTTTAGCCTGGAGAAGAGAAGACTGAGGGGGGATCTTATGAATATGTTTAAATATCTGAAGGGAGGGTGTCGAGAGGATGGGGCCAGACTCTTCTCCATGGTGCCCAGCAACAGGACAAGAGGCAACGGGCACAAACTGAACCACAGGCAGTTCTGTCTGAACATGAGGAAAAACTTCCTTTCCTGGGAGGGTGACTGAGCACTGGCACAGGTTGCCCAGAGAGGTTGTGGAGTCTCCATCCTTGGAGATATTCAAAAGCCGTCGGGACGTGACCCTGTGCCACTTGCTCTAGGTGGCCGTGCTTGATCAGGGGGTTTGGACTAGATCATCTCCAGAGGTTCCTTCCAGCCTCAACTGTTCTGTGATTCTGTGATAAAAGGAGGCTGTTACATTGAGTTGCCAGTTGTCTCTATACTTTGTACATAAAGGTCTAATTCTCACATTCAGTGCAAATGAGTGTTAGGTCATAGAGATTGCAAAGCAAACACATATTTATGCCAGAAAAGTGAAAAAAAAAAAGACATATCTTAACAAAGGCTAATTTGAGAGTCCACTGTCCTTTTACATGTAATTGTATTTACCATTGGATTTACCAGATATCGTGGTTCCTGCTCAGCCAAAAGTCTCAGTAAAATGTGACTTCATTTGAACAAAGTCTTTGAGACTGTGTAACTATTTAGAAACTTGTTATTTCATTTTGAATGAATTTGAGTAGATTTTTATAGATAGCTGTTATTTCTGCACACATTAAATATGCCTACCTCATCTGATTTCAGTCTTTCACAGTTCTAAGATGATCTGGCTGGCTATATCACAAGACAGCAATGTCATTATTCAAGCTGTATGCACCTAGAACCTCAGCAGCTACAACAAAGCCGTTTTGTTAATGAATGCATGTGTGTTAAAATGATGTGGAATGACAACTATTACACGACAACTGGTGGCAGAGACTGGAAAGATAATAGATGCAGACAGCCCGAGTTGTGTCAAAACAGGCCTGAAGTATTTGAAGAATATTTATGTAAGGGAGAGGAGAGAGAGTCTGGAAGAGAAAAAAAAAAAAACCTATTGAAAGAATGGCTTTCTGGCTACCAGCACTTAAAAGCAGTGGTCTAAGGGAGACAAGGAGCCTGCCTTGGAAAGCGACTCCTCCTTTAGTTCCAGCCTTTACTGCTGAATTACTCTTTGCCAGTGGCAGTTTTACGTATCTAAAGGCTAGAATGGACCTTTGTGATTAATCATCTCTAACTCTCTACGTAATGCAGGGCATAAAACCTGACCCACTTCTGCAAGATATACTCTGCCAGGTGCTCTGCATTCTGTTTTTATTGGAAATTGAGATGGAAAATTATTCAACAATCCAAATGTTACTTTTTTATTAGCAGACTTTGTGTCTGTAAGGCTGCAAAGTAAGTTAGGAAAAAGCAGCAAGACTTCTGTGCCTTGAGAGCAGGACATGAGTATCATTATTATTATTGTCTAAGTGAGACTTGAGAATAAATGAATAAG